CTATGAGGTGGAAAATGGAGGCTAGAGCCAGATACAGTTTTGACTAATACTGTGTTTATGATGCTTTTTTAAAATTTTATTTTATTTTTATTTTTAATTTTAATTTTAATTTTTTTTGAGATGGAGTCTTACTGTGTCCCCCAGGCTGGAGTTCAGTGGTGCGATCTTGGCTCACTGCAAGCTCCACCTCCAAGGTTCATGCCATTCTTCTGCCTCAGCCTCCTGAGTAGCTGGGACTATAGGCGCCCACCACCACACCCAGCTAATTTTTTGTATTTTTAGTACAGAAGGGGTTTCACCGTGTTAGCTAGGATAGTCTTGATCTCCTGACCTCATGATCCGCCCGCCTCGGCCTCCCAAAGTGCTGGGGTTACAGGCGTGAGCCACCGCGCCTGGCCTATGATGCTTTTAACAAGCATTTTTATTGTTCTTCACAACTCGTGGACCCTTATCACTGGTCTTTTCCTGCTATGTTCCTAGTCATTTCCCATCTTGTATTCAGGTGCCTTACCCATCCCCCACCCCTGCCATCTCTAAGCATAATTTTTGCTATTTATACCTATTTCATTTGTTTTATTCTTACTGGTTTCTGTACATGCCTTTGAATCCTTCATCCAAACTGATGACAATGTTTAGAATCAACATTGATTGTGATTGAATGATTGATTGAGACAGGGTCTCACTCTGTTGTCTGGGCTGGAGTTCTGTGGCACAATCACAGCTCACTGCAACCTGGACCTCCACAAGCTCAAGTGATCCTCCCACCTCAGCCTCCTGAGTAGCTAGGACTACAGGTGTGTGCCAACATGCCTGGCTAATTTTTATATTTTTTGTAGAGATGGGGTTTTGCCATATTGCCCAGGCTGGCCTTGAACTCCTGAGCTCAAGTGATCCCCTCGCCTCAGCCAAAGTTCTGGGATTACAGGCATGAGCCACCACGCCTGGCCAGAATCAACCACTTTAGATCAGTCCTCAGCCATCATCTAAGGGTCCCAGTAAACTCCTTATAAGGCAATCGCTCATATCCCTGCTTTGAACTTGACCCTCTTACAAGATTTACACACTCTTTAATGATGGAATGATAGAGTGGTGTATCCCATAGAACTTTCTGTGATAATGAAAATGTTCTATATTCTGTAAATGTCTATAGATGTCTATAAATGTCTACACATGTTCTATATTGGCCACTAGCCACAGGTAGCTGTTGAGTACTTGAAATGTGGCTTACGTGACTGAAGAGCTGACTTTTCTATTTTAATTAATTGAAAATTTAAATTGCCTCATGTGGCTAGCGGCTGCCCATTGGACACCACAGATGTATCTCATTGCTACTTAAAATGGGGTCCCCAGACCAGGAGCATTGCTGTCACCTGGGAACATATTAGAAATGAGGACTCTCAGCTGGGCATGGTGGCTCACGCCTGTAATCCTAGCACTTTGGGAGGCCAAGGCGGGCAGATTGAGCTCAGGAGTTCGAGACCAGCCTGGGCAACATGGTGAAACCCTGACTACTAAAAAATACAAAAACTAGCCGGGCGTGGCGGTGTGCGCCTGTAGTCCCAGCTACTCAGGAGGCTGAGACAGGAGAATCGCTTGAACCCAGGAGGCGGAGCTTGCAGTGAGCGGAGATCGCCCCCGCACTGCACTCCAGCCTGGGCAACAGAGCGAGACTCCATCTCCTTAAAAAAAAAAAAAAAAAAAAAAAGAGGACTGTCAGACCCATCTATTTCTACTGAATTAGAGCTGCAGTTTAGCAAGCGCCACAGGTAATTTCTATGTAACTCAAGTTTGAGAAGCACTGATACCTGGCTGAACAGTGGAATCACATGGGGAGTTTTAAAAAAATACTGCCACCTGGGTCCCACCCATGGTGATTCTGGTTTAATTGGAATTAGGTGTGGCTTGGGTGTTGCGATTTTTAAAACACCCCCCAAGTAATTTTAGTTGTGTAGCAAGGACTAGTTAGTGATGGCTCAAGCTTTGCATGTATCTGAATCACCTGGAAATTTGGTAAAAATACAGAGGCCCAAGATCTTTTCCACCTCAGCAAGACTGGGTCTCTGTATTCTTTATTAGCTTTCTACAGATTCTGATGCACACATTTTGGGTTTGAAAATCTGTGATGTAGAATATAGTTTCCCACTTTGTTGGTAATTGGCATGTAAGCTAGAATGAAATGCCTTGCTGACGTTAAAGAAAATTGATGTATTACAGCTTTCAGTCATATTCTAAATGAATGATTTTGTGAATACTTGTTTTTCACAAAACATGCCACTTGGTGTTTGTACAATGTTTTTTGCTTGTAATTTTTATTTGTTGGTGAACTTCTTGTCTCTATGATACGTTTTTCTCCCCCTACATTTGTGGAGAAAAAAATTTTTTTTGTAGAGCTGGGGTCTCACTGTGTTGCCCAAGCTGGTCTTGAACTACTGGCTTCAAGCAGTCCTCCGCCTTGGCCTCCCAAAGTGCTGGAATTACAGGCGCCAGCCACTATGCCTGGCTCCATTTTTTTTTTTTTTTTTTTTTTTTTTTTAGTGGATAGAAGTATCATTAACATTTTGGTCTTCAGAATTGCTAAGAAGTCTGTTAATGACGGCTGGTAGTTCATGGTCAACTTGCCAGTGCCTTAAGGTGCAAGTTGGAAAGCCTTGGGATCAGAATGTTCTATAATACGGAAGTGTCTGAGATCAAGAGAAGCCCAACTTCCAGTTCTCTAGCACAGCCCCAGACAGTCAGATGCAGCATATCAGCTGAGGGAGGTTGGCATGGAGGGATGGTATCAAGGTGTCTAGTACATTCAGATCCTAACTAATTCGAGGCTTTAGGATCAGTAGTGTTGCGTTCAGCATGATTCTATCTTAGGAGCTGGGAAAGGGAGTGTATAACCAGGTGACTCACTTTCTTTCTTTTAAAAAATGTGCTGTTAAGTTTTGTATCAGCTAAAACCTTTTGTTTTTGTGGTACAGAAACCTTTTGGTATGCTAGTGTGGCCAGCCTTTGTTAGGGCATGAGCTTATTAACTATTAATTTCTGGGAAATGTCATAAGAGTTGATGACGATTTGGAAAGTAGGAACAAATTAAAGTTCTCTACAGAAATTAATTGTCATTAAAAATGTGGCACATGCTGGGCACGCTGGCTCAAGCCTGTGATCCCAGCACTTTGGGAGTCCGAGGTGGGAGGATTGCTTGAGCCCAGGAGTTCAAGACTAGCTTGGGCAACATGGTGAAACCCCATCTTTATAAAAAATACAAAAATTAGCCAGGCGTGGTGGCACATGCCTGTAATTTCAGCTACTTGGGAGGCTGAGGTGGGAGGATAGCTTGAGTCTGGGGAGGTCGAGGCTGCAGTGAGCCGTGATTATGCTGCTGTCCTGCAGCCTGGCCGACAGAGTAAGACCTTCTCTCAAAAAAAAGAAAAAAAAAAAACCATAGTGCCACGTAATTGTCTTCAACTTCAGTTTCAATCCTTGTGTTTTCTACAGTAAAATTTTAGGTGCAAGAAGAAGTGTGTGTTTTTTTAACCCGTGACGTTTCAGAACTCACAGAGCAAGGCAGCAGCATTTGCTTTTGCTTTCCCTGCCCAGATAATGGAAAGTCTGAAATCGAAAGTAATTAAATGTGATGTTGGCAAACAGTCATAAACTTGTGTCTTCCTGGAGAGTAGGCTATGTAGTCTTTCTGGCAGCAGTAGCAAGGAAATAATGAGGTGAAAGCGCCCAGGAAAGAAGGCCCCATGAACACTGCAAAGACAGTTTGCTCGTTCTAAATGGAGGTTTCTCTTGGCAGGAAGGCTGTGACCCTGCTGAGCTGTGGAGAAACAGCTTGATAACCAGGGCTTTCCTGGGGCACCCTTTCTGGTGCACTTCGGAAGACCCTGGGCTGATGATTGGGCTCTCTGAATTTCACCTAAAGCAAGACTGTAACTTCTGGGCAGCCTGATGCCAGGCTTGGAGGCAAACCCTCAGAAAACAGCTCCTCTCAGTGAGGGAGTGGGAGCCTGTTTGAATTAGTGTGGAGAATTCTCTAAGAACCCACAAACTGGGAGGCATTCTCATGGCGAGTCAGTGCGGCTCCTCTTACGTTTACCACAATTAAGGTGAGCATGAGAGCAGCCTGCCTCTCTTCTATTCTCCCAGCCATGGAGGCAGGCTCCATTAAAAATGTGTTTTTCGGCCGGATGCAGTGGCTCACGCCTTTAATCCCAGCACTTTCAGAGGCTGCAGCGGGCAGATCACTTGAGGCCAGGTAGTTCAAGACCAACCTGGCCAACATGTTGAAACCTCATCTCTGCTGAAAGTACAAAAAATTGGCTGGGCGTGATGGTGCACGCCTGTAATCCCAGCTACTTGGAAGGGTGAGGCAAAAGAATCCCTTGAACCTGGGAGGCGGATGCTGCAATGAGCTGAGATTACGCCACTGCACTGCAGAAAAAAAAACAAACTTGCTTCCTACTGGTGGAGTAGGAATCCGTGGCCCACAGAGGCTAAGGTGGCAGTGGGAGTGAGAAGACCTCTCTTTACGTGTTCATGATAGGCCGAGGTGATGCTAGGATGGTTGGTGTGGAAAGAAGCAGTTGAGCACCATGTTTTGGCAAAATTCAAAGGCTGGGAGGCTCCCAAAGGCAAGGAGGAGGCGGCTGGTACCACAGGTCCAGAGCAGTGAGTTGAGTGGAAAGTCTGGGAAAGGCTTATGTGGGAAGCACAGGAGACTTTTACCCCATAGCCACGAAAGTCAGTTTCTTCCCAGCCTTGTGTTCCCTGCTTCATGACCAGGCAAGCGCTTAAGTACGAAACTCAGAGGAGGGCAGACAGAAATGATGATAGCTAGGGAGAGAAGTAAGCCTTTTGGGGAGAGGTTATATTCAACAGGTGGGAGGAGAGGTTCCCCCCACTTTCGAGGGAGGGGGGGATCATTGGAAAAGCATGGAATCTAGTGGGAATTTGGTGTTTTGACATGAATGCTGTCTGACTTTGTTTTTGCCCTTTGGCTGTGTACCTAGTGTGTGTCAGTTCCTGGAGCTGTGTCAGAGCCCAGAAGGTGGCTTTGGAGGAGGCCCCGGTCAGTATCCACACCTTGCACCCACATATGCAGCAGTCAATGCATTGTGCATCATTGGCACTGAGGAGGCCTATGACGTCATTAACAGGTACAGCGAAAGCCAGCAGTGACAGAAACACAGAGGAGTTCCCCACCTGCTGACACGCACTGACTGTTGCCTCTCTTGCCTCTTTCCCTGTTTCTCAGAGAGAAGCTTCTTCAGTATTTGTACTCCCTGAAGCAACCTGACGGCTCCTTTCTCATGCATGTCGGAGGTGAGGTGGATGTGAGGTGAGTGGGGTTTTGCACAGGCTGCCACATCGGTTGACTCTAGAGCTCATCTGCCATTAGAGACGCCAAGCCTAAGGCACATCATGGGGAAGCTGCCGCTTTGTCCCAGAATGACACATAGGATGACATGTCAGTGACACATCAGAATCATTCAGATGTGATGCAGATGTCCTCAGGTGTCATGATCACTTGACTTATTTTATGTAAATGTGAAAATATAAGACAGAAACAAATGCTTTTGTTTTAGAAATTAAAAATACGTTTGTTTGGTATAAAATGATATACCACAATATAAATGACTGTATGGTGTAATGTATTCCTTCACCTCTCTGAGATAGGAAGGGAGGAGAAAGCCCAGCAGGGCCTCAGTAAATACCTTCTGAGTGAGTTTGATGAAATCATGAGAATGTCTAACCCCTGAGGTCCTCCTGAGGCACATGAGAGTTTTTCTGGGAGGTGCAGAGAGCCTCGTGGACCAGGAGAGTGCAGTGCAATAAAATCACATTAACTGATTGATGCCAGTTAGCTTGAAATTATTATTTTCCTCCATAAGTGTCTGATGTACCGAGCAAGTTGCTTCCTCACCTGGCAGATTACTTATGAGGCATACAGGGAATTCATTGAATAAGCCATTTCTCTAAGGCAGTGGCTCATTGAGATTTTATGCCATTTTCTTATTATTTAGTTGAGAAATACATTTTGTGAGGTTTCTATAGCAAAGCTGTCTTACTGCCTATGTGTAAATGGGTTTGCTTCTGCACAAGTTGATTAATACTCTGGCTTAAGCATCTGGCTTAACCATTGGTTTGAAAGTATAGGGGAGGAAAAAGCACGAACATTTTGGAGCATAAAATACATTACAGATAATAGCAGGTAATCAGGCTGCAAAGGCCTTTAGTTCAAGATGTTCTTCTGTCTCTAACTTGTCTAATCCAATCAAAAAAATTAGATTAGGATCTGTATATACCAGTGAAGCCAGTAGAACTACTGAGGTAAATCAGTATGTGTCGATTCTTCTTAAGGAAAATGTTAAGAGTTTTTTTCCCTTGTGTTCACTACATTTTCATTCCTGTTCTGTTGCTATTCCCCCAAAATATGCACAATCTTGAAACATAGCTTTTAAAAACGTAACTAAAATTATTAGGCAAAAGCAAACAAATCATAGCAAGATCCTTTTGGTATTTTATCATATACCTTTTGCAGCTATGATTATTTGCTGTCTTATTCATTCTAGCACCAGTTCCCCCCTCCATGTTCTTTATTTATATGTTCTAGATAAATGCTAGGAAACTTCTCCAGTAAGACAGATTGGTTCCCCTGCCGAGCACTGGAGCCATATTCTTCCCTGACCTTTGCACTTTGGGTGATGCTCTGCCGTTCATGCCCATGCTTTCTATTTACATAAAGGATTAAAGATATGAATAATGGAGAAAAGCTTGTAGACTGCATCTGTTTTCCTTGGTTTGCCTGGTTTCTAGTACCCCGATTCCATCATTTTTCACTTGGCGTTTCTTTAATTGTCTTTTGCCTAGAAGCATCAGCCAGTCCTCAGGAGTGCTTGTTCGGGTGGATTTGACTTTGAGAGAAGCAGCAGTGACAGGGGAGAGTTTGACATCTGGAGACTAGCTTGCTGCCCTTCTGGGATAGACAGCAGTCTCTGGATGAGCTTTCTGCTCTGTTACACTGCTGATAGTTTCAGAGATGAGCCTACTCAAGGGTCTATAGCTCCAGTGTATTGTAAAAAATCAAATCTCAGTGAACTCATAGCAAGCACCATTTTTTCTCAGTTCTTAAGAAAGGCAGGAGTCATTATTCCTGACCTCCTAATCTAGGTTATATAATCTGGAGCATTCTGTGAGGATAAGGTGGAGGCAGGGATCTAGCATTTGCAGAAGTTTGGTGAGAGAGCATGTGTTGTTCAAGAAAGGACAAGTTCAGTGTTGAAGTGTAGATGGCCTGGTGGGCAGGGGAGCAGTGCAGCTGGAGGGACAGGCTGGGAACAGGCCACAGAGGCCCTGAAATCTCCTATGGAGTCTGGAGTTTAGTGATGTGATCTGATTTGTATTTTCTTAGATGTTTCCTAATTGCAGTGATGAATTGTAGTATTCCAATAAAAGCCCTCTGGTTTCAGGGCTGGAGGTAGGGAGAGCAGGGAGACTGATCCAGGTCGAAGAAGGCTTGGATTTGGGTGATGGCAGCAAGGATGGAAAGTTAGTGGACAAATTCAAATTTGAGAGCTGTGATGACTGGATGGAGGGAAAGGGGTAGAAATACATGAAAAGGTTGTATTATGTTTCTTCCCTGTCTCAGTGTGAGACCTGGAACTCGTGTCTGCCATCATCACGTCTTAGACCTCACTGGTGAGAGGCAAACTGTATTATAGGTTGCCTCCTACCTAACAAGTCACAATAGGATTCAAGAGCAAATGCATTTGAGCCTCTCTAAGAGGCCCACGACTGCAAGGAAATTAGATCAGATCTTCTAAATTAGCTGATGGTAGATGATCACATTTGGCATTGGCACTTGTGACTCTTGTGTGCTCCCAATACCTGCTGGTAGAACTAAACCTCCACGGTGCCTTTGGCTGCTAAAAATGCTAGTCGGATCATAATGCATGCAGCTTCCGCAGAGACTTCTTTGGAATACCTCAGTAAATTTGGCTTCATGTTATGTCTATAAGGAGTAAGATGGAAACCAGGGCCGAGCGTGGTGGCTCATGTCTGTAATCTCAACATTTTGAGAGGCTGAGATGAGAGAATCACTTGAGGCCAGGAGTTCAAGACCAACCTGGGCAACATAGCAAGACCCTGTCTCTACAAAACACTTTTAAAAACTTAGCCAGGTGTGGTGGCATACATCTGTAGCCCCAGCTGCTTAGGAGGGTGAGGCAAGATCAGTTGAGCCCAGGAGTTTGAGGTTGCAATAAGCCATGATAGCGCCACTGCACTGCAGCCTAGGCAACAAAGCGAGATCCTATCTTAAAAAAAAAAAAAAAAAAGATATGGAAACTAGGCCCTTCTTTTATGTTTTTTAGGAGCCCTTAGGAAAAGAATTTTTGTTTGTTTGTTTTGTTTTGAGATGGAGTTTCTTTCTGTTGCCCAGGCAGGAGTGCAGTTGTGGGATCTTGGCTCACTGCAACCCCTGTCTCGGGTTCAAACGATTCTCCTGCTTCAGTCTCCCAAGTAGCTGGGATTACAGGCGTGTGCCACCATGCCCAGCTAAATTTTGTATTTTTTGTAGAGACGAGGTCTCACCATGTTGGCCAGGCTGATGTCGAACTCTTGACCTCAAATAATCCACCTGCCTTAGCCTCCCAAAGTGCTGGGATTACAGGCATGAGCTACCACACCTGGCCAGGAGAAGGATTTTTGAGCAGAATTCAAACCAATGATTTTTGTCTTCCCCGTGCTGGGTATTTGAAAAAGCCATAGAGGGGAAGGAAAGGCAGTCTATGTGTGTATTCCATGACAGAGGGAGAAGCTGAAATAAAATGTGCCCCGAGAAGAATTAGGGCTGGGAGGATGGAATAGCAAGAATGATCCCAAATCAAGTATAATGATTTTTTTTGTTTGTTTTGGGTTTTTTTTTTTTTTTTTTTTTTTTAGACAGAGTCTTGCTCTGTTGCCCAGGCTGGAGTGCAGTGGCGCGATCTTGGCTTACTGCAAGCTCCGCCTCTGCTTTGGGTTTTTTTGAGACAGAGTCTCGCTTTGTCGCCCAGGCTGGAGTGCAGTGGCACTATCTTGGCTCACTGCAACCCCCACCTCCCAGGTTCAAGTGATTCTCCTATGTCAGCCTCCCGAGTAGCTGGGACTATAGGCGTGCGCCACCATGTCCAGCTAATTTTTGCATTTTTAGTGGAGATGGAGTTTCACAATATTGGTCAGGTTGGTCTTGAACTCCTGGCCTCGTGATCCACCTGCCTCGGCCTCCCAAAGTACTGGAATTACAGGCGTAAGCCACCATGCCCAGCCTAATAATTTTTTTTTTTTTAAATAGCCCGGGCGCGGTGGCTTACGCCCGTAAATCCCAACACTTTGGGAGGCCGAGGCAGGTGGATTGCTTGAGGTCGGGAATTTGAAACCAGCCTAGCCAACATGGCGAAACACCATCTCCACTAGAAGTACAAAAGTAAGCCATGCATGGTAGCATGCGCCTGTAATCCCAACTACTTGGGAGGCTGATACAGGAGAATTGCTTGAACCCAGGAGGCAGAGGTTTCAATGAGCTGAGATCATACCACTGCACTGCAGCCTGGGCGACAGAGTGAGGCCCTGTCTCATTAAAAACCAAAACAAAAGCAAAACAAAAAATATAGACATGCGCCTTTTTCATTTAACGTGTGTGTCTGTGTGTGTACTGGTGAGAAGTTTGAAATCAAGCCTCTTTTCTCCCTCTAGAGGCTTTAGGACTGTATTGGAGTGGACTCACCTATTCCTATCCTTGTTTGGTACATTACAATTTGGTGGCCTGTTTTGCAGTTTATCTGTTGCAGTAAAAGTATAGTTAATCTTTAACATGTCAAGGCTGTAAACAGAAATCCTGGATCTGAAACAGTACTAACATCCAAATGAATGATATCAGAAGTACCTGAATGATACCATAGATTTATGGCAACCATTATAGGTCTTTGAAAGAAGGGCTGAATCCACTTTTGACATGAATTGATATGGCTGTTATTTCCTCTGATGTAGATTGGACCATGTGGAGGTAGGGAGAATAGAATGTCATGTTCTTTCACTGAAGCCATGCCGTGAGCAACTCTATCCAAATAGAATGTCACACCTCTCAGTTGGAGACCCAGGAGGACTGACCGTGTGCCAAGAGTGAGGACAGGAGGTGATTACAGCTTACTAGGCAAGGCGAGCAGTCCACCCGCGGAGTTCACTGAGCCGCATTCGCTCTTCCGTAGAGCTTAATGTGTTTCCTGTTTCTGTCTTTCCAGAAGTGCATACTGTGCCGCCTCCGTAGCCTCGCTGACCAACATCATCACTCCAGACCTC